AGCAGTGTGAGTGGTGGGGGATCAAGCAGAAGCACAGATCAGGGCATAGGGAAGCAATGTGCTGAAGGATGAGGCAGTAGCATGTGCTACTTCCCTATCCCCCCCGACCCAGCTGCTGCTGATCAGAAACATAAGTTGGGGGTGTGGGAGCAGCACAAATGGGGAGATCAGGCAGCAGGGAGGGTGGGGGAACCCACAGCAGGGATGCAAGCAGGTGGGGTAAGTGAAAAGGTAAAAAAGGAGCAGGGGTCAGGCTGCTTGTCTCCCCTGTGATTGAGGACAAATCAATTCTACTGTAATAAAGGGCTTAGTCTGTCTGTGTGTCTGTCTGTCCATAATGCTTTTGGGCAGCTGCGCATGCACCACTGAGAGAGCTGGCAGCAATTGGTTCTGGGGGCTCCACCTCCTCAGGTACGGAGGGAGCCACGCTGCCTCAGGCAGGGAGGAGGGAGCCCTGCTGCATCACAGGAGGAGGTGGAGGTGGGCAGGGCGGGGGAAGAGCCACCACTGCCGCCGCCTCCGACTCCTCTTTTGGCTGGGCAAAGGACCCTCTTGTCTGCAGCCAAACTTTTTTTTTCTCTTCAATATGGGGACAGCTAAGATCCCTTGACCCATACTGCATAAAGAGTCCAAGAAAAAAGGCTGCCACGGCTCTCTGGTGCCACCTGGGAGGCAAAGGATGTGAGTTCAGGGGTGTAGAAAAGGATAAGTAAAAAAAAATAGTAAAAAAAATAAGTAGAAAGGAAGAAGCCAAGTAGGTGATCCTTTTCCAGTCTTGTCCCATAATGAAGAAAAATGAAGCCACTCAAAAGTTTATAGGGTAAAGATTTAAAACAGATAGTTGGATGTACAAATCTACCCTTTTGGAATGTACTGCTGCAACATATTTCTATGTTTGGGGGAAAAGGCATTCTGATCCCTTGCTCATGGATATCTGTGACTTCAGATATGTCTGTCTGACTTGAAAACTGAATTTTCAAGGCTCCAGTCTCTTATTTCATTTCATTCATTTATCATAGTTCTGTCCTACTTTAACACAAATAAAACCATCACCGTCAGATGTGTAACTGGGACTCAAAATAGATTAAGTGAAATTCATTTCCAATTCAGGATGCTCCATTCTGCAACCTTAATAATACGGACCGTGACCAATGTAGGTTGAAACCCAGATCTGATCGTACAATGCGTGAATTGTGATCTTCTAGCAAGTGCTTTTTTTGTATTCACTGTGGCATGTTTCCATTCTCCCATCCACCCAGTAAATAACCTGATGGAGCTAGAAAACATATAGACTTGGGCCACTCCTTGAAATGTGCATGTGGTTCTGGAATGTGCTTTGCAGCACAAACAGGCTTCTTTATAAGACTGGGTCTTGAGAATCAAGTAGTTCGATTCCTTGCTATTAGAGGCAACCCACCTCATGTGTTTTCATAAACTGATCATGCCTCCAAGTTAATTGTGGCAAACTCTTAACGCTGCAGAGCAGCTGGGATTTAGAACAATATTTTTTCCCCAAAAACAAACTCTAGAGGCTGATAGCCAAAAGCTCTTTTAAGCAAGCACATGCACATTTCTCATTTATTATGGATTTGATGATACGTAATTGTAGTCTTAGAGACAATCACTGATACAAGCAATCTCTGGTTTTATCTACAACGAGGATTTTCATTACAGTGTGTCATTCTACCAGCACTAACAGTAATAGGAGCCCTACTATAGTGAGAGCCCTGGTGTTCTTACTACCGTGTTGTCTAGCTCTGCTCTGAATCATACCATGTTTGCCCAGTTCTGAGGATAAGAAATCAACATCAGCAATTAGTTGTATTATTGTGTGAAACTCAAAGTGCAGCTCAGATTCCATAACCCTTGGATTATGCAGTCAATGTTCACGGGGCATGTGAGTTTTTCTTTTCATGCGTATAAACTTTCTGTTCAAAACAAATGCTGTCAATCTTTGGTGGCAAGGGATTGAAAGTTATTCAAAATTAGCCTAACAGTTTGGCAGGGAATCAGAAATACTAACAATATATGAGTCACCAAATACCTTAATGCAGCTAACTGGCAGTCAGATAAATGAAGGAAGCAACATAATGGAATGGCTGACTGCATCACAGCCAGAATACTGTTGCAAAGCAGGTTTTCAATACTGTCTATCCATCAGCTAAACTAGATTCTGTTTATAGGTTTAAAAATGAACTAACCAGTTAAATTAGGTATGTTAAGCAGTATGTATGGAAAGAAAGGGTACATTGCAACTCAAAAAATCCATTATGAGAAGGATTCTCATGTAAAATAAAGAAAATAGGCCAATCATTCAATATGATAGCTTGTAAATAGGGGGTCTGTGAGCATAAGGAGTAAAATCCCAGTCATGCCAAAGTGGCAAAATTTACACTGACTTTGCCCTAGCAGTCTATGTTCAGCATCGGTGGGTGCATCTACACAAGATGTTTACTGTGCTATAGACTAATTAGCCATGTAGTAAACATCTTGGCACCTACACATGTGCCCCTATTAGGTTGAAGTAAACTAATTTACTCTGCAGCAGGATAGTATTTGTATTTACAAGTACTATTCTGCTGCAGAGTGAAAAACTCCGCAGTAGTGCACATGTAGATACTGCCCCAGCTGGCTGGGGCACAAGGGTGCTTCAGTGTGGGGGCTGCCTGAAGGCTAGCCCTGCACTGAAGCAACCTTGTGCCCCAGCCAGCCCCTCTACATCATGTTGAGCCTGGGGTAGCAGCCCTGGGCTGGCAGGCTGACCCACCGGGGCCTCCTGCCAGCTGGGACTGCCCCAACTCAGTTCAGTATGCTGCAGTCCTGGGCACACATTCAAATGGCAATAAACTCTGGAGTTTATTGCTTTGCATTAATTGTGTGTGTGGATGCACCCAGTATGGTGCTTCCTTGCATTCTAAAATACAGGCTTAGCCCTTAGACTTGGCAGCCTTCTTTTAATGAAACAGGAAGACTGGATAAAGCCTCTTGTTGTATTTTTCACAAACAAAGAATGGAGTTGTCCTGAAAACATCAATAAAACATTTTTAATGCTCTTTATGGACAAAGAAAGGGGGTTGTGGTTTGAAGAAAAAAAACCTCATAGTGATTTATGAGGTTACCAGGTTTGAAGTTCCCTCTTGTTACAACTTCCAAGGTAAATACGCTGGTTCAGTTAAAATGGGACAGTACTGGTCACCTGGGCATGCCGGTTAATAGCTAATCACAGTGTAGACCAGCCTGTCTGCAGCTCAGGTAACTAATATGGCTAACCTCTTAAAAAAATTTAAAAGATTAACTGAAAGAATTAAAGTTAGAAGAACTGAACGTGGAGGAGTAGGGTACTGTGGGGAAAGATAATGACATTGATTAGGAAACCTAGGAAGCACTCTTTGCTAAAATAAAACTCCTCTGGCTTCAGATAGGTTTTCCCCAGAGTGAATATTGTAACCTTAGTGAATAAGTACAATACAGTAGCTCAGACAGCACTGAGTAGTTGTTTATACTGAATCTAGCACAAGGGTCCCCTGATTTCTGTTGGAAACAATCAATCAAGATTTTCAAAACTAGGAACACACATCTGAGTCCTGGTGTTTCTTAGTGATAGTAAAAGTAATTTATTAAGAAGTAAAAGATAGAGTAAAATTAAATTGGAAAATCTTGCCTCTCCATACCAGTAGAACCTCTCCTTGAAACTAGCACATAGGGCCAAACTTATCCTTTGTCTTACTGACTGTCATAGCATGGCACTAGAAATAAAGCCTTTTATGGTGATTATTAGTGTTATACTCACATACTAGTATTTTACCTCAACTAACATATAGAAATCAACAAAATGACTCTATTCATTAAAATAAGTAAAGAAAGTAAGATTTACACTGTATCTGTACTCTTAAACACATTGACATCTGCCTCATCTGCTTCATCCAAGTCAGGCCAAGCAAATTTGTGACAGTTTATTACTTAGATTAGGTCTTCAGATAAATTATTTTTTCAGTTGGAAGCAAAATCAATCTAAATACTGACATGTTAGTGCTGTGCTTTATTATCTTTTTAAAAAAATAAATAACACATGAAATTGAGGGGGGAGGGAACATTGGTTTTAAATAAAGTAGATCAATTATTGTTATGAGGATGAGGAGAAGGCTGTGTACCTTACAGCCAACCAAGAAGACTAGATACCGTAAAAATATGTAGTAGAAGGTGGTCCATGCTCTAATGAACTTGCAGTCTACAGAAACAAGACAAACACTTAGTGAGAAAAGGGGTATACTGCACAAGCAGAATTAATAATGTTATGGGAGCAAATGGCATGTTAGTGCCAAGTTTGTGGTGCGGGGAGTGAGGAAGAGAACACAAGTTTGAAAGGGAAGGGCTGGGGTAGATGTGGAAGGAGGCTGTGATAAAGGAAGTGTAAAGAAGGCACAGAAAGAGGCTTAAACAACCAGTAAGCACTGAGCAGAGGAATCCCAGTCAAAACTGTAGCTAGTTCTTTATGGGTCCAGAGATTTCTGCCCGAGTGTCTGACTTCATTGCAGTTTTTCTCCAAGACCATTTGGTAGTGGTAGAATGAGTCACCACCTGGTTCCTACTGTCATCATAGTAGGGAAGGTCTCTTTTGCACCTTTCTAAGTCAAAGGGGATATTCAAGGAAAAGTGCTGGTTCTCATTTCCCTTACATCCTCATCCATGGTAGTTCTTGCTTTGGCTGCTTTTGTAGTTTTCCTTGTTGGCTGGAGTAACCAAGACCTAAAACAAGTGTCCAGAGAACTAAAAGATACTCCAAAAGATGTGAATCCATTCTTCAGTGGAATATTTTACCTATAGTTTTTATTTCACAGATTCACAGAGGTTTAGGGCTGGAAGGAACCTCGAGAAATCATCGGGTCCTATAGTTTTTGACAGCACAAGTGAAGAAGTTTGTGTTCCTCAAAGGAAACTGGAACCAGGAGGAGTGACTTCTCTTAAAATGAGGTACAGTTTAAAGACAATGCTCCAGCAATCAGTACAGCCTTTTTAGCAAAAAACAAACTGTTCCACTCTTGATTCCACAAAGCTCCTTGGTACAAAACCTTGGATGTAGTCCTTCACCTGTCAGCTGATAGTCTTTCTTCTGCATACCTGTTCAAGGGGAAAGTGAAGTGACACTTAAACCTCTTGCATACTAGGAACAGTTCAGAGCTTTGTAACAATTTTAAACATAATAATAGCATTTTTGACCTGAGGAATTTCCCAAGTTCCCAGTTTGCCAGTTGCAGGAGCCAGTTGGTTGCCTGCTGCACAGACCAAAATTACTGTGCTGATGTGTAGGAGGTGGGATTCACCTCCTTCACAGAAGAGCCAAGTAAACGGCCAGAGAATGCACAGAGAACTCAATGAACAATGGAAGGGGACAGAACCCACCCCGTACCTTAGAGTACAGGGTACTGCCATGGCTGTTACTGCACTCCATAGGTAAATGAATCTGTTAAGTTCAGTGTCACCGTGACCTAAGTTCCTATGCAATCTTGTGAAGCTCTTAGAGCTTAGGCTTTCGCTTAGTGTGGAGGAATTCTAAAGGCTCTTTTTTTTCCAGACCATGCTTTTTTAATGCAAGAAAAAAATAACTTTTAGCTGTTTCAAGATAAAAGATGCTCAGTCTGTAAGACACTAAACATTCTTCTTCCAAAACCACAAGTTGTCAGTATTCCCACTTAGAGTAATAGCGGTTTGGAAGGAGATTAGCCTAGACAATCTCTAAGGGTACTCGACCCAAATAGCTATATTGAACACCTAAAGAAAGGATTGATTCCCAAGTGAAAAAATAACAAGGGTACTACAACATTTCAGCACAAGGATTTCAGAGCATTACTCTATCCTACTCTTCCTGAGGCCAAAGATTCTAAGGAATCACTAAAGCAGCTCGTGAAAATGTACTGCTGGGAAAAAGGTTTTGTCCCATTGTATGTTTATTGTTGTTTTCCACCACAGTGCGTTTTCTTCATATATTGATCTAATCCAGGCCTAATCTTCCCTATGTAAACATTTTAAATCCTTGCTACTGCTTGTCTGCTGTCAAGCGTTTCAGGTGGTACAAACCTTTTTTGCTGTTGAATAGACCAGATGCATTCACACATTCCCATGGATTCCTATGGAATGTTAATAGTCCCAGCATAGCTGGTGGAGCACATATGGCAATAGGACTTAATTTTGATTTAAATTTGCATTGTTTTAAATACCAACCTCAATGCTATTAATTAGAAGTGAAATGTCATGGCAACTGTAGACTTTTGGGAGAGGGAGGTTAATGCCTGATTCCAGTGTCTGGAGTCCATCACAGTACACAAAGCAATATCCTGAGGCCTAACCTAATCAATTAGCCAAAGGGGGAAAAATTCTCTTTTTTAAAATCCATAATGCTTCCACATAGTGAACCTGAGCAAATGAAGGGTTTCTGCTCTCTGTTTCAGTGTGTGAAGTTAAGGAGTCTTCAGACAACACCTAAATATCAATAGTAGCCTGCTTGATATTCCTACTAGTAAGCAAACAGTGAAGGAGCAGTGTTGTTTATCACAGAAGTCTAGTTGGCATGAACACCAATTACTTCAATGTGGCCTTTTCAGGTGTTTCAGTTAGACCTTGAACATAGCAGTATGGGAAAAGAATGAAGCTGCAGGTACTGGTCACCAAGAAAAATAGATATGGAAAAAGAATTAACCAGCCAATGAAGAAATCAACATTATAGATAAGACTGTTTGTCATTGGGGTAGAACATTTAAATAAGAAAATGTTCAATATTTAATCAAGAGAATCCTAGAAAAATGTTTGGATGGGAAGGAAAGTAAAATTGGTCAAACAATATTAAAAAGTAACTGGTCAGTAAAGCAGAGTATATTGCTCTGTCTACAAATGAGAGGACAGACCACATTTATCCCATTAGGTTCTACCTACACAACAACTTTTATCTGGGGTTTCTAACCAGTTTGCCGAATAGCTGGCTCTAAGTGGAGTTTGTTCTCACACACAACATGATTAATACTCTGTTAGTAACCATGGCAGCTAAATATGTACTGTCCTTGCCAGAAGCAGAGGCTGGCACATGACTGTCTTCTGACAACCATTTGGCACACTCATTTGCAGCACAGATGAGTCCCCTAACTGTGCCTCAGTAACTAGCTTGGAAAGTCAGTTCATGTTGCTGGGACTGTTTTATGTACCCATTCGCTGAGCACTCTGTCCTCTGATGAAACACTAGTAGAGGATGGTTGTCCCAATATTCTCAGAACGACCCAAAAAACCCACATGCACTTAATACCATTGACCCTTGGTTGTGCTGTGAAGGCAAGTACTTGAGGGACACAACTCAAACCATATTTTTTTTAAATAGGATCTGATTGAAGTGTTTCAAATTGGTTTAAAAAAAAAAGTGGTGCTAGCAATGTGGACAAGCCTTTACTGGAGTCCCCAGAAGTGCATCTTACACATTACAGGGGTGTAAGTTATAGCCATGTTGGTCTAAGGACATAGGCAGACAAGGTTCTTTGGGTAATATAAGATATCAGATTTACCCAAAGAACCATGTCTTACACATTATCACAGCCTGGGATTCTTTGGATTTGGCAGTGGGACCTCTACCAGGTGACTGAATTTTGAAATTCTGCCAGTAAGAGCATATGTGAAATGCCTCAGCTGGAAGGCATTCTGCATCTCTTACATGTACAACATAGAAGTCCTGGATTAGGATAGGAAAGTGTTTTTTTTCCTTGGGTTTTGGACTTGACAGAACAGGATAGTACTGCAGAAAGTTTTTGATGCAAATCTTCAAAATCCCAGGATCTCCATGTAACCTTTTAATATTCAGCATGAGTTTGTGTTAAGTAGTTATTAGATTATATTTTCTTCAGTGTTGCTTTGCTCTTTCCTTCAAATAGATTTTTGGGGGTGAAATTCTAAATCCCATTTAGACTGGGACTCAGAGGATATGGATTAAATTTCTGGTTCTGATCACTAACTTCCTGTGTGATCTTGGGTAAGTGATACAATCTCTAAAGTGCTTTAGTTTCCCATTTGCAAAATCGGAATACTACTTCCCTGCCTCCTAGGCCTATTGCAAACTCACATTAGCTAATGATTATGAGTGCAGTGATGGCAAGAGTACAGGGATGAATATGGTTGTCCTTTGGAGACACTGGAAAAGTACATTTTGTTGTCTAAATGTGTGGCACTAGAGCAGCCAGTGTGAGCTAGAGTTATGGTTGTTGCCCCTTGTCTCAGTCCTGGGCTCTGAGACCCCTCTTGTGACCTTATTCCTGTATTTCTTTCTATGGTTTCTTATCAGGATATTTTTTATAGAGTTCATCATGCTTAGCCTATAAGGAATACATAGACCTAGCTGTACAAATGCTTGTTTTACTTACTGAATACAGATGTGTTTCTCAACTGATGAATTTCAGTCAGTAGGGGGGAAAAGGACTTTATTAGAAATTTTAAAAAATAATTTATGTGGGGAAAAAAATAAAAAGTTTAAAACTCACCAACACTTTTTGTGTAATATTTAAGATTTCCCTCTACATATGCTAAAGATTTCATCTTTCTTCCTCCGATCCTGCTTCCAGGTGAATATTAGCAAGCTTCTCTGTTCTGGAGAGAGAAATCAAATATTTAGAATGATATATTTATTATGCAAGACAGAGAGAGTCTAAGAGAGCACAAAGAAAGATAATGAAAAGCAATTGAAAGAGTAGAGGAATAAAAAGAGGCAATAGGATGAAAAATTGGTGGAAAGCATTATAAGGATACAATTTTGTGTGCTTCATCATCAGTTGTTTTTCAGACTGACATAGGGTATATTAAAGACACTAAACCTATACAAAAATCTGAGCTGTTCCTATACATTTGAAATAAAGGATGCTTAGGGATTGAGTCTTTTGTGTGCTACCTTTTCCCCAAGCTGCTTTATAACAGTCTTTTGTTCTAGGTGGCATAGATGATGGAACTTTCCACTGGATAAAATACTCCATTCTTCCTGTATAATACTGTCCAAGTGCGGCTTATTGGAAAGTGTTGCAATGTAAAGGAATTTTTATTTTTGTTCACACAAGTGAACTGTACATGATTCTTAAAGCAAGGGATAAGCACTGTATGTGACCTAATGCAAGGAGAAGGATTACAGTTTGTCTTAATTTGAAGAACTGAAAAATAACCGACAGATTTCATGGAATGGCTATTGCTACCATAAGAGGAAGATCTAACCCTGTTGCATTGTTCACATACCACATTCTGCTCTGTATTTGTAATTCTCTGACTAGTGAAGCTCAGCTTTCCACCCCGCTTTCTTGTTTTCCCTCTTTTTACATAGGGCAGTGCTTCTCATCCAGGGTACCATGGCACTCTGGGGTGCCCCTGGGATCCTTTCAAGGGTGCCACAGTGTGACACGTTTGTGCTGTTAGGTGTGCAAGCAAGATAAACCCAGTGATTTCAAAGAGGAATGTATAGTGTAAAAACACCTGTTTTGGCCTTTCTGGGCACGTGCAGACAAGCGTAACTGTGTGATATGTGGCACTGCAAACATGCCTGCAGCACCACATACCGCACAATCAGTGCTCTCTGCAATGCAAGGGTGCGCTGCCTGTGCATGCACTGTTCCAGGGTTTTTTTCTGCAGGGTTTTTTGACTCCTGGATATCTCTGGAAGCACCCTTTGTCAATGGTTCCATGGGGACACCCAGGATAAGACTGGGTTCAAATTGCCATCAGTGATTAAAAGGCCAGACCTGCAAGGCAGTGATGAAAACTACAGGTGTTCGGCAACATTCACAAAGTAGATTATTTACATGGGCTGGAGCCTATGAGATTCTAATCGCTTCAAGGTTCCCTTAAATAGAGGCTGAAATTGTTCAGTGCTTCTAAAAATCAAAGCAAACCTTATTGAATATGCTTAGCTACCTTTCCTTCTATGTTTTAAGGGGGTAGATGTATTCCCTATCAAGAAACCAACTGACATTTTTCTAGGTGTTGTTGCAGCCAGGATGGTCCAAGGAAGACAGGAGACACAAGGATTTTCTTGTGATATCTTTATTGGACCAGGCTCCACAGAGCCTGGGAAGTGCCCCAAAGCATATCTAACATCCCTCCCAAGGAAAGAGTCGGTCCAATCCCTCCCCTCACAGTTAGGGGCCCCAGTGAGAGGTAGGGGTAATAGAGAAGGATCTCATGCACAAGTGCTTCCTCTGAAGCAATTTCTTTGGCATGTTTTCATTGATTATGGTCTCCAGAAAGATGCCAAGATCCAGGTCTACAATATAGTCATACTCCCCACTCTCTGGATGTCAAATGTGGATGACCTATTGTTGTCATCTTAAAAGCCTGGAGAGGTGGAGGATTTTCCAGAGGCATCGTTGGCATCAAATGGGAAAACTAATCAAATGGCACAAATGCCAGCACTCATGATGAATTCACCATTATCGCACTGAGTCAGTGATCCTCAGACACCAACACCGTGGATGCCCAACTCTCAACTCCCCAAACCACTTCTCTGCTCTCGGCCTCATTGCAACCTGAGGTCTGGTGGCAGCCAGAGGAAACACTACAAGGACCCCTTGATGACATACTTCCAGAAAACAGGAACCGAGAGCAAGATCTGGAAGGAGCTGGTGGCCAGCCGACTCTAATGGTGCCGCAACATCAGCCAAGCAGCAGCCCACTCACTCCAAGGTCAAGCTTCTTGCCCCTGAAGCAGAGATGAGAGAGTGGAGGGAGAGAAAAAGAGAGAAATCCCAGCCTAGAGCCTGCTCTTCGCTTGAAGAAAGACCTGCAGCTTGTGCACACAGCTCTGTGACTCAAGGGTTGAACTCAAGTCACCTTAAGACCCACCCAGGAGCACCAGTAGAGACCATGCTTGAATGGAGGGATTGTGAGAATACCTCTACCCTGCATGTGTGGACAAACTGGAGTCCAGTGGAGGGCAACGAAAATGGGTATTGGGAGAACATGATTTATGAGGAGAGGCTGAGGGAACTGGGATTACTTAAATCTGGAGAAGAGAAGACTGAGGTGGGGGGATTCAATAGCAGCCTTCAACTGCCAAAGAGGGTGGTACCAAAGAGGATGGAGCTAGACCAGGGGTTTTAACCTTTTTTAAGGACTGTACTGGATGCTTG